CACCACCTGTCACCACCTGTCTCACCTGTCACTCACCTGTCTTACCTGTCACCACCTGTCACTCACCTGTCTCACCTGTCACCACCTGTCTTACCTGTCACCACCTGTCACTCACCTGTCTCACCTGTCACCACCTGTCTCACCTGTCACCACCTGTCTCACCTGTCACCACCTGTCTCACCTGTCACCACCTGTCACCACCTGTCTCACCTGTCACTCACCTGTCTTACCTGTCACCACCTGTCACTCACCTGTCACTCACCTGTCTCACCTGTCACCACCTGTCACTCACCTGTCTCACCTGTCACCACCTGTCACACCTGTCTCACCTGCCACCACCTGTCTCACCTGTCACCACCTGTCACCACCTGTCTCACCTGTCACTCACCTGTCACTCACCTGTCTCACCTGTCACACCTGTCACTCACCTGTCACTCACCTGTCTCACCTGTCACCACCTGTCTCACCTGTCACCACCTGTCACACCTGTCACTCACCTGTCACTCACCTGTCTCACCTGTCACACCTGTCACTCACCTGTCACTCACCTGTCTCACCTGTCTCACCTGTCACCACCTGTCACTCACCTGTCACCCACCTGTCACTCACCTGTCTCACCTGTCACCACCTGTCACACCTGTCTCACCTGTCACCACCTGTCACACCTGTCTCACCTGCCACCACCTGTCTCACCTGTCACCACCTGTCACCACCTGTCACCACCTGTCTCACCTGTCACCACCTGTCATCACCTGTCACCACCTGTCTCACCTGTCACCACCTGTCTCACCTGTCACCACCTGTCTCACCTGTCTCACCTGTCTGAACACCTCCACTGACTGTTTGATGTCTCCTGGTGGACAGAAGTCAAATATTCGCGCTCTGGCAGCCGGGCAGACAGGGACTGCATGGAGCTGCTGCAGGACGCAGAGCCTCTGGACTTCACCTCTGACGCTCTGACAGACGACCCTCTGGAGGTCGACTCCAGCAGGTGAACAGGAAGTGCATCAAGCTTCTTGTGAACGTCCTGTACAGGTACAGCAGACGTCTCTGTTGTTTACTTGTTTGTTTGTTTTGTTGTTTCAGGCCCGCAGCAGGACGGTACCTGTCCATGTCCTCGTCCCGGAACCGAATATTTGACGATGTGTAACGTGGTCTTCTTCAGATCCTCCTGCAGAGGTGACGCAGCACTGACCTCCACCTGAAGCACGCATGTGAAGCTCCGCCTCCAGCACTTCGATCACATGTCCTGTCCACCTCACCTGCTGCTTGAAGGAACATTTGTGCTGTTCAGTAATTAAAGCTGTCCTCTGGATGAGGAGGCTGAATTCTGCTGAGTCAGCCTTTCACTGAGCGTGCTCCTGAATGTCCAGCACATCCCTCTGACCCAGCTGYAATGAAGGCTTCATTAGACTTGATTTATTTTTGTTTCTTCTCCATGTTGAAGGTTTATTTACCTGAAGAATCCCTGAAACTTGATTTGCACTTGATCTGAACCGTCTGAACTACTGAAGTCAGGATGAAGTACGCTGACCTTTGACCCTTTGTGCACAAACAGTTAAATATGAACTCATGTTGGTGTCGATGTGTAGAAASTAAACTTTGTTTTCTCTAATCAGCTGTTTGTTTCTCTGACAACAACCTGACCTTAAAGAGCTCAGAGTTTGTAAAACACCCAGAGGACCGTTAGCGTTTATAACTTTAGTTTGTTTGTGTTCATGAGGACCGAGTACATGTCCCTGCGGAACCCCACAGAGGGCTGCTTCTGTGTTGGACCAGCTGCTTCAAACCTGATGAACCTCTGTGGCTCTGAGCTGCTGGAGGGTCAGCTGAGCTTCATCTTCATCACTTCCTCCTCCTCCTCCTCTGTACAGATGTGTGTGTTTTTGTATTCTGTGGTGAACTGATGAGTTCGTGACTCTGCTGATATTTATAAGCTGTGCTGTGAGAAGGTTCCTCTGTCACAATAAAGTGGATCTGTGTGGAACCAGCAGTTCTTCTCATTTCTCCTGTTTGACTTTAGATCCARCAGGTTTGGTTTCTGTCGTTCTGCTCAGACCTCCATGTTTTTATATGAAATTATTCAACCTGTTGAATAAAACTTGTCTGATCAGATTGAAGTGAGCTCCTGCAGGTGTTGGACTTCAGCTTTCATCCACAGCTGCTGTTCAGGTCCAATAAAACCCAAAACAGGTGAGGAGAGSACAGGTGATCTCACCTGCAGACCTCCAACATGATCACTAGATGTGAGTGATAAACTGGACCTTTAACCGGATCAGAACCAGCTGTTCTGAGCTTGGTTCTGTTTACATCTTGTGCTCTGACAGGAACTGAGTTACAGCCTGGTGTAGATGGACTGGACTGGTTCTGGTCCACTTGTTGGTTCTGGTCCACTTGTTGTGTAAAACGGGACACAAACATGAGTCAGCTCCATCAGCTGGGCGGCTCTTATTTACTGAAGATCACCGCTGATCTGAGGCTTTTATTGTGAAAGAGCCAGAGAGACTCACAGCTCAGGTGAAGGTTCTGAGAGCACGAAGAGCTGCAGACAAACAAACAAACAACCTAACTACTGTACCTAATTTACTAACTAACTAACTAATTAACTAACTAATTAACTAACTAATTAACTACCTAATTAACTAACTAATTAACTAACAACAATCACAGTTAGATGAGTTTATACTCCTGATAAAAGTTTTATAAATAAAAACATTTAGTTTCTGGGTTTAGTCACAGGTGACCAACAACACACACACACACACACACACACACACACACACACACAGGTCTGAGGTTTCACACGTCACAACCTTCAGCAACACACTCAGACACACAACAACACAACTTCAGTTTCCTGAGAGGGACGGACCCTGAAGGCAACACGAACCAAACGATAAACAGCAGATCTCTGGTTCTGGTTCTGGTTCTGGTTCTGGTTCGTCCTCTGAGTGTAGGCAGCCTGATCAGCAGCAGTGGGCGGAGCCACAGGTAAACAGCTCATACCTGCACCAGGTGCGGTTTGGGAGGGACTCATTAGCTGATGTAAGAGGTTCAGGTGTGCTCAGACAGGTCTGACACCTGACAAACACCTGAATGCACAACTTGGTTCTGGATCTGAGGTTCTGACGGCCCGCAGGATGGCCCACAATTATAACCCCTACTGTAAGGTAAGGANTTATTTGAATTCTTCGTCTCTGATAGTGACTCAAAATAATCTACAGAAACATCAGATTCTTCTCTACAGTCTGTGTTGTTAGTTGTTGTAACATGTTCTGTTTACATGCWGACATTCCCCTGTGACATCACTTCCTGTTACTTCACAGGCAAATATCTSAACAACTGTTCAGCTCAGTGACATGAAATTTATTTTGCAATATTTTGTCATTGTCCTCTTTCTAAAAGTGCATTCATATGTATGACAAAAATTAGATGTCACAGGCACTTTAAATCTTTGCTCTTTAACCGTAACGCTGCGTCTGTCCACCAGATGGCGTGCTTCATCACCATCTTCTTCCTCTGCACCTGTGTTTACTCCACCGTGTTTCGGATTCGGGTGTTTAACTACTACTACCTGGCCTCGCACCATCAGACCGACGCCTACAGCCTGCAGTTCAGCGGCATGTGAGTGACAGGAAGTTAGTGACAGGTGAGACAGGATCAGCTGAAGCTTCAGAATCCTTCTGTGTCTGACCTGCAGGCTCTTCTGTCGTCTGACTCCTCCTCTGTGTCTGAACTTCCTGGGTCTGATCCACATGGACTCAGCTATCTCCCACCAGGAGAAGCTGCAGACGGCGTACACCTCTGTAAATAACCACAGATTAACCTGCAGGTTTCAGGTGGACCCGCCTSACTCTGGTTCTGTTTCAGATCATGGGATCCATGAGAGTCCTCTCCTTCATCGCCAAYGGGTTCTACATCTACTACCCCATGCTGATCGTCATCCTCTGCATCGCCACCTACTTCAGGTGACTGTTTTMTGTCAGAGTCACTGTTGTGTCTTATCACCTGTGAAACCCACACTGACCCGGTTCTGTTGTTTTCTGGGTCAGTCTGGGAACTCGCTGCCTCAACCTCCTGGGCTTCCAGCAGTTCATGGACGACAGCGAGATGACCTCTGACCTCATCGACGAGGGGAAGGAGCTGATTCGACGCGGTGAGACTTGGAGGACATTCATGTTTAGACCTGTCACGATAGTCAGTAAATCAGTTAATCATATGATAAATTATTTTGAGGTTGATAAAAAAAATGAGGACGATAATTTTCATTTGCYTGCTTGCTTGTTTACTTTCGTCTCTCCCCCTCTGTGCTCCAGTGCACAGCTCCAYTGACCCCTCCCACTCCTGTTTTCTTAGAGTCAGAAGGAGTGAACTCTGGCGTTAGGTATTGCCAGGTGCGTGGTCTCGTAACTCATTAGCATRAGAGCTCAGATCAATAATTACATGGAGCTGGTTATCAGTGAAACCACAACACATTTGTTGTGATCTGGCTGCTTGTTTACACATCATTGGTGATCTGAGTCTCTGTCAATCGGAGTCTCTGTCTATGGGAGTCTCTGTCTATGGGAGTCTCTGTCGATGGGAGTCTCTGACTATGGGAGTCTCTGTCGATGGGAGTCTCTGACTATGGGAGTCTCTGTCGATGGGAGTCTCTGTCGATGGGAGTCTCTGACGATGGGAGTCTCTGTCGATGGGAGTCTCTGTCGATGGGAGTCTCTGTCTATGGGAGTCATTGACGATCTGAGTCATTGACGATCTGAGTCACTGTTGGTCTGAGTCACTGATGATCGGAGTCTCTGACGATCTGAATCACTGATGATCGGAGTCTCTGCCGATCTGCGTCTCTGCCAATCGGAGTCTCTGCCGATCTGCGTCTCTGCCAATCGGAGTCTCTGTAGATCGGAGTCTCTGACAATCGGAGTCTCTGACGAACTGAATAACTAACGATCGGAGTCTCTGTCGATCGGAGTCTCTGTCGATCGGAGTCTCTGTCGATCGGAGTCTCTGTCGATCGGAGTCTCTGTCGAACTGAATAACTAACGATCGGAGTCTCTGTCGATCGGAGTCTCTGTCGATCGGAGTCTCTGCCGATCGGAGTCTCTGACAATCGGAGTCTC